GGTCAGAGCCCAGGTGGACGGGCACTGTTGGGTTGAAATTGTATATATATTATCACTCACGTGTATTCTGAAAAATGCATAACTTGTTTCATGAAACAACTGTGTAAGTGTTTACCAGTAATTTTCCATCACGTGCAGCAGATGAGCCCACCTCTGCTGGACGCTCTGTTGTTCCTGTTCCCACTCCCACTTTCCCATTGCATCCTATCCCATTCCAAATGTTGTTCACACCCACAATGTAACCTGATCAGTATGTTTACCTTATAGTATAAATAAACTCTGTCAGGGGCCACACCTTGAAAGCCATCACTGTAACTCACTGTAGAAGGTGTGGCTCCCCTTGTACAAGTAAAACAGCGCGTGTCTCATACTCTGTGGGCCAGCAGCCGGGGGGGGCTGATCACTCTCTCCGACATAAAAACTTGATCCTTCGAGCCGGATCACAAACCAGTGATCCGTGCGGATCGGGGAATCCTGAGGACATCACCAGGGCGCCGAGAGGAGCGACACCGAAGTCTGTCGACAGCCGCTCGTCTAAGACGGGTCGAGAAAGTCCTGGAACGTGAGAATTCGTGACCAGGCCGGTGGTTAGGACTGCGCTCGACGCCTGGTGATGCCTGACGGACCCCGACCGTCGTGACTGACCCCAGAGGTGAGACGTTTGGTTATGTTCATCATGTTCATCATTCCATTTAATTAAACTAAAATAAAACGAAACATATTTGTTTATTTTCCAGGACAAAACTTGAATACTGCGGGCGGGAGCGGGAAATAATAATATATATTTTTTGCGGGAGTGGGACAGAATGTTGCGGGAGCGGGCAGGAGCGGGACTGAAAAATCCGTCCCGCGCAGGTCTCTACCGTGATGAGTAGAGGTATGGTGTTATATTTACTAGTCGGCAAAACGGCGAGATAGACACAAGTCGCTGAAGTGTCGACTTTATAAGTCGGCAAAACGGCGAGTTATATTTACTAGTCGACAAAACGACGAGATAGACTTAAGTCGCCAAAGTGTCGACTTAGGTGTATCTCGTCAATTCTCTAAGTCGTCACTTTTAAGCTGGTCCCACGAGTGTCGACTTAGACCGGTTTTACTGTATATGATGTTAATAGAACTGCTTGCGCAATTAAAAACAGAATTGACCACAGCAAGGCAGAAACTGCAAGTTACTCTCAATGTGACATTTAAGACATTAACAACTGGTGTAGAGCATATATATGTGTGTGTGTGTGTGTATAATGTGCACACCTGTGATGTGATTAATAGAACTGCTTGTGCAATTTCAGATAATCGCTGGCAATGTCACACTTGGAGCTGATAAATATCACAAACATAGGAAATAAACCATGAAATGAAAAATTAATCAGTACTTACCAATGAGTATGAGCCTGAAAAACATTTCGCCGGCGTAATGGATTTCTAAGTTTTACGAAGTTGTCTTCTTTCAAACATAAGACAAGAAAAAAAAATTGCAATAAGTTTGGGAAATACTCAGTGCAGCCTGATGTTCACTAATGACAATAGAAAATACTGATACAGAAGCCTGTTAGTTAAAAGTCTGAACTAAACGACGTCTCACACTTACAGCTCTGCTCTGATATAAACCAGACATTAAAGCAAGAGGCATTTACACTGAACTGCCTGCTGGTCCTTTAATGCTGGACTCTGTTCACCACAGAGATTCACACTAAATACAGAAATAAACAGCAGGTCATAGAGGAAGTGAGTGAACACAGCACAGCACTGACAGTTTAGCAACACACAAGAGCTGCTAACTTAGGCTCTCTGAACACAATCTCTGTGGGTCCAGTGGACTCTCTCGTACCAGTGTTTGTAGGGTTCTGGGGGTGGGCTGATCCAGAGGGCTGTGGATACAGGGAGGTTTGTGCCTGAGAAAGTTCCGGTCTGTTTAAATGAGATGAAACAGTATAATTCAGATTACAGCTCTGTTCATTCTACAGACAGTATAGTGTGGGGCTCATCTGCACGTTGGGTAAGATCCACACCTGCTACAGCCTCTGATGTAAAATCTCTGATAGAATCACAGGCTTCTCTAAATAAGGAAACCCCACCTCTGGCCCTCTGGAGCTGCTTAGAAACTAACCAGGGCCTTTTAAATCATCTGCTTACTGATTTAGGAGCAAACTGTGGCCTGTGTCTCTGGTGCACTGTCAGGTCTCTCAGTGACTGAAGTTAATAACGGCTGACGGAAAGTATGTCACACGCAAGTGGTGTTTCAGCAGCTTTTCTCTGCAGTGTGTGGTTGTGGCTCTTGTTTCCATGGTGACGCTGGGGCCACAGGCCTCTTGGTCAAAGCTACACTAAAATATCTGCTCTCTCCTATGTAGCTGTAATAAAACAGACAAGTTCTTCAGATGAATCCCAGAGAGGAGCTGATTTCTACCAGCAGGACACCAGTAAAGCTGTTTGAGCAGGACCCAAGTTCTGAACTACAGGCCCCAGGATACAAATGAGATCTGATCCTCAAGTCAGTCTTTAAGTCAAATTTGTAGGTGAGCTGGAATAATACAGGCCAGAATAATACAGTAATAATAAATTCACTGACTTCCTCTGTGACCTGCTGTTTATTTCTGTATTTAGTGTGATTCTCTGTGGTGAACAGAGTCCAGCTGCCCCTGAAACCCGGAATCAGATAAACTGAGGAAAATGGATGGATGGATGGATAGATGGATGGACGGAAGGATGGATGGATGTCTACTGTCCACCAATAAGGACATAGCAGGATTCCAGCACAGTGATAAGAATGGACAGAGTGCACACACTTACAATGTATGATCAATGTATGATTACAGAGCTGCCACCTATGCTGTATATTACAGGATCACTCCATATTCGAAAATAAAATGCTCTGTCTTATTTTGAACCATCATTGGGATACACCTCCCCGGCAATTTTTTTCCATCAGGGACCTGGGTGGGGAGGGTCGCATTGTCCCTCATTTCTTCAGATTGAAAGTGGCAATCCAATATTATTAGAATTCCAACTAACCAATCAGAAAAAAAGAGAGACACTGACCGATCAGACCATTTACATATATTTATATAGCAGAGACATTTATGTAAAGTGACACATATTGCAGAAATCAAGGTTAGTCTGGGGTTTAGGGTCTTACTCAGGCACCCATCAGTGAGATCACTCTGCTGACCATGAGACCTGAACTTTCTGATCTTGGTTCAGTTTGCTCACATTCTTGTTTGTGAATGTGGTCAGGGGCTCCCTAATCCCCCAGCAGGACATTTCCAGAGCACAGTTTGGAAAGCTCCATACAAACATCGAGAGACCCTGAGCTTCCATCAGAACCAGATCAGAATCATAATGTGATTCTCTGTAAGATCATTGTTTGGGGTGGAGGTCTCTTACTCTGTATCAGAGTGTTAAATCTGGCTCTTGAGGACCACAGAAGCCTGTTAATTGTCTTTCAGAGCCACTTCCTTCCATATTCTTCTGAAGAACCAAAAAGCAGCAGCCTAAGGCTAAAAATACCAGCCCACCCCCCCACCGATCGTTCCTGACCAAGTGGGTGCAGTAGCCAGTATCTGCAGGCTGTTTGTTCCAGTGCACAGGAAGACAGGAAGTCAGGCTCCTTTTTAAGGCTCCAGGTCCAGATTCCCCCAGCACTCTGCATTGTGGGAGAAGCTGCATTTCTGATGCATCACTGAGGTCAGTGTTACCCCTGTGTCTGGCTTGAGAGGCTGCTGCTTTCACAGCTTTAAGAAATAAGCATGTGGTTTTCACACATCGTGATGAAGTAGAATTGTATAAAAAGGAACAAAGAAACATCACACATCAGCAGAAATGGTGCAGAAAGATGCTGGACATTCCAGCAATGTTTAATCTCATTGCCAGTCTCTGAGTTAAACATCAGCGAGTCTGTGTGCAAACTCAGCTCTCCCTAGCGAACATGTGCTTTGGGCTCCTATTTCACAATCAGGAGATGCAGGTTATTTACTTTATTTACTTAGCAGACACTTTAATTCAAAGAAAAGTGCATTTGCAGTTGGTGTTAAGGGCCTTGCTCAGGGCCCCATGGTGACATCACTCTGCTGAGGGACTTTCCGATGACAGGTGCAGCGTCCGAACCCACTGAGTCACCACAGGGCTCTTAAAAATGAGCCTAAAAATCACCTTAATAAAATAAAAACAGGGAGGAGCTGAGCCACCATGGGGGGCGGGGGGGGGGGGCAGAGCCTGTCTTTAGCCTCCAGACCCCGCTGACTGAGCTCAGCCATGGGTCACATGGTCCAAGTTGCCACCACCTGCAGAGATGGTCCTGCATAGATACAGCAGCTTTTAGTGATGGATCGGCTCCAGGCTTCAGGCTCCCCATGATATACCACAGGCTAAGCGGGTTTGGAAGATGGTCATGTGGAGAGAATTCGGTACCAAGAATTTTTAATTTTCAAAAATGACCCACAACCAGCATCTGCACCCAAAAAGCAGGAGAGGTGAGGCTTTCACACATCCGGGGTGCTGTGATGAACCAGCAGGAGGTGTGAAGGTGGGACCATATCACAACAGACATGGGGGGGGGCATGAAATCATAAACAGCAATGACTCGAAAAAGAACAGAGAGGAAACTGCAATGATAGAGACTCTGAGAACTTTTTCAAAGTCAGACAGTTAATACAAGAAAGGCACATGTGATTCATCCTGGGTAACGAAGGGTGGAAGTACGTTGATCTGTCCACTAGGTGGTGCCGTCCAGGGAGGCCCCTCCCCGACCACAGAAATATGGCCTCCTTATGAAGTCATTTGGTTCCACAGTGAACTTGTTTGTGCTGACCTCATGTAAGCCGCCCCTCCACTCTGCAGAGGAGCAGCCGATGGGCGTGACTTTAAGAAGGAAGAGAGGACATGGAATGCTAGGGTTCAGCTCCCCCTTCTGGCTCCTGAGAGTAGCACATCCTAACAGCGGCGTAACTTTATGATTTTTACCGGAACAAAGTATAATGTATTAAAAATTGCATACAGTGTCAGAGCTGCCAAACTCCAATTTCTTCCCTTCTGCAGAGGTTCCATCAAGAAGCTCACAGCAGAAACTCACAGACTTAATCCTGTGAGTTTAACAGAGCTGACAGTGTGTGTCCATGTGTGTACATAAAGCTGCTGCACTCCTGTGTGTGTGGGAGTGTCTGGCTTTTTGGTCCACAGTCCTGCAGGGGGCGCTGTTGCATGTGGGCCATTCAGCTCAGCCATCCGTCACTTCCCTGGCCATCAGCTGCTTCCTCTGCTCCCGCCTACAGTCCCTCTGGATGGCCCTCCAGATCCGGCAGAGGACTCCCTGCTCCACCCAGACCCCCCATGCGCCACAGATGCAGGTTCATAACAGTCTGCACTGGAGATCAGGCTCCTGAGACACAGACACAGCACGGACCCACACGCAAACTCACTGTATCCGTGGAAACCGCAGGTCCTCCTTGGTGATGTCATTGAGGATGTCATTCAGAGTGTAGTCCTCCATCACAAACTGCAGCAGAGATCTGACAGGGCAGGCATTCTAAGCTCTGCTCTTTTGGGATGGACGCAGAACAGCCAGAGAGAGAGGTGCAGGTCTCAGACCAAACAAGCAGCGGTCTACTTTTCCTGCCAAATAAACCCTTTTCTCCTGCTCTATACAGTCACACACTCCAGTGTTGCCAGGTTAAGCATGTAGCCCAGCCTTGTAGTAGCCGTCATGGATAGAGACCTGACCTTCTGAGCTGTAAACCTTATCCTTCTGACTGTAGATCCAGTGCACTAATCACTGCACCACCTGCTGCCCACTGGCCCACTGTGTGAGTAGCGCTCCAGGTTCTCCAAAAGGCTTCCCACGCTGCCTCACGCCCAGGCTGCATCCCAGCAGGTCGCTCTAGCATACTTGCCTTCTCTATGGTGTCTGTATCCACACCCAGCTCTTTCAGCTAATCAGTCAGCTCCTTGTTAGGCTCCACATTAGCTGGGATGTGAAATATGGAGGGTGGGTGCAAGACTGTGGTGGGGAGGAGAGGCTCATGTGCTAGAGGGTTTGGTTACATCAGTGTTGGTGTCAGTTTGGACGCTCTGGGAGGTTCTGGCTACATGGGTGTCTTGTGTGTCACGTTTCAGCCTGTGGGTCATGTTGCTCTGCCTATTTGTGTGGGTCTACCGAAGTGCCACCTCTTCTCTGGCATCAGTTCCAGGTCGTGCGCTCTCTGCTGGAGACTCTGCCTCACCACATGCTGGTACTCTTTCTCCTTCTGCACCAGGTCCTCCAACAACTTGCAAGACTTGAATTGAATTGAATTCCTTTATTGTCATTGTACACAATACATGAGATTCAATGTGCAACTCCTCCGCATAAGACACTTCCTATAAAATGACAAGAAAATATGAGTCCAGGGAGGCAGGGATGTTTTCTTTAACGTAAGACGGAATCAGCCTTTCAAATCACTTCATTATTATCAGTGTCAGAGCAATTGGACGATAGTCCTTCATGCTACTGATGTTTGTTTTATTTGGTACTGACACAATGATGACTGATTTAAGGCAGACAGGGACCATTTCCAACGTCAGGGAGTTATTAGAGGGTACCACTTTACAATAAGACTCCCTTTTGCCACGTATAAATGGTAGTAACTCATTAATAAGAACAAAACTGTGGTATAACTTGTTTATAATATTCTATTAATGAAGTGTAACAACCTAATTAATAACTTGCTTATAGACCATTCATAATCCCTTCATAAGGGTAGCCTTATTGTAAAGTGGTACCGATTAGAGATATTGTTAAACACCTCAGCTCAGCACAGTCCCTGTGGCACTCCGTCTGGTCCAGCAGCTTTGCGTGGATGTGGATGTGGATTTTTATAACTTTTTTCAAGTTTGACCTGACAACATTGTAGGCCAGGGTTCTTCAAATCTGGACCTCGATTCCAAATCCAGGCCTTTTTTTCAGTTCTCCCAGATAGTTAGTTTAATAATTACTGATTCTGATTGGTCAGAGGCTTCACACCTGGCTCACAGGTAAAGGAAGGCTGAAAAACCAGCAGTGCTTGGACCTCGAGGACCGTGATTTGAATAATAGGGCTGTAGGCTATGGGATCCACAGATTTAAATGCCCCGTTAAATGCTTTTAAAAGGTGTTTCACTTCTTTGTTCATCCATGGTTTCACATTTGGAAACATTTCTTATCTTCTTGTCCATAGTGACATCATCCACACAGCTATAGATGATATAGCTATAGAAAAAAGTATTTTCCTCCAGGTCTGTCTCTGTGCCCCATACAGCCAGCTGAGCAAAGAGTTTCCCTGTGTGCATTCAGAGCAGCCCTGGAGATGTGATACGGCGGCCTGCTCAGGCCATATTGTCACTGTCTTTGTGACGGCTTTGTTTCTGTGGATGAGAGGTCCATATGCAGGCATCAGAAATGATGAAGAATGGTCAGAGTGACCAAGGGGTGGCTGAGGATTGAGGGCTTTGTAAGAATCTTTAATATATAATGTGACGGCTTTGATATACAATCTATCAAGGGTGTTTCACCCCCTGGTGGGGCACTGCACATGTTGGTAAAATTTCTGGAGCACAGTTTGATCTGCATGGTTAAAGTATCCCTGCAATAATGCGGCGGTGTCTGGCTGAGCATCCTGCTATTTACTGATAGCCTGTGTCTGAAAGTATTTCAAATCTGCGGAACAGTAACAGTCATTACCTATATAGACGCAGAGCTCCCCGCTCTTGCTCTTATCGGAGTTCACTGTCCTGTAAGCTCAGCACACTGACTGGCTAGTTAGCTCCACAGCTCAACAACCTGGTTCCTGACAGAGCAGTGGAGCTAACTAGCCGGTCAGTGTTCCGAGCCGACAGGACACTGACTTCTGGTAAGAGCAAGGGTTGGGGGCACTTAAAGATGGG